TTTGATTATGGTGGACAACTCTGCGTGGGGGAGAATCCCACACACTTGGCCGGAAGCGCTTCCCTCACGGCTCAAAGGGGATTGAGACAGGCGAAATCTGGCAAACCTGGTTGCATCGATGTTTGGTCTGTCAAGGTCGGTATTGGTTACACCAGCCCGACTGACCCTGCCCTCTTTCGCCGGTTTAGACGTTGAGATCGAGTAGATCTCCACCTATTCCGTTTTTAGGGGTTTGCGCTTGAGGGATTGAGACAGACGAGTTATGGCAAACCTGGTTGTATCGGGCTGTCGGATGTTTGGCCGTTGAGATCGTGTAGATCTTTGCTTATTCCGACGTTGTGGTCGTCGGGCGTTCGGTCTGATCTCTTTTCCTCGATCTTACTGCTATGAGTGGCCCTACAGTAGTTGAAACTCCAGACGGCTTCACTCGTGGGATCCCTGTGTCTGGCAAGCTCTCTACCATGACAAAGGACGACCATATATATCTTTCACTGGATGTCAGAGCACCTTCAATACAACACACTAGACGTCTCATATATATAGCATACATTTAATGATCCATGCACTGATATAAACAGAGATTATATGAATACAACACTTTCTTTGATGCTTAGACTGTCAAAGTCCTCTTTGGTTACATCAGCTTAATTGGTGCTGCCCTAAACTATCCTCCTCGATCCTGCCCCCATGGGTGGCCCTACAATAGCGAGATCTGGCAAACATAGTTCTATCGTGCTGTCAGATGCTTGTTCTATCAAGGTCTGCTTTGGTAATCCCAGAACGACTGCCGCTGCCCACTTCCGCCGGTTTCACCATTGAGATCGTGTAGATTTTTGCTTATACCGCCGTTGATGGTCTTCGGACGTTGGTTGCAATCTGGTCTTTCCTCTTTGACCTTACCCGCATGGGTGGCCCTACATGAATTGGAACTCCAGACGGTTTCGCTCTTGCGATCACTGGAACAAGTAAGCCTTCTACCATGACAAGAAACGACTATATATATTTTACACTGGATGTCGACAAGTTACGAAATTGCACATAATATTTTTTTAATCCCTTGACCCGTAGCCGGAGTGGAAGTGGTGTTTTCATGGGCAAGATAGACTGAAGGAAGCAATCTCTAGGTCGGTTTTTAATTCAGAGTTATTCTTCTCATAGACCGGTTGCCATTTGAGGCTATATAACCCAATCTGTCCTGCTGGAGGAGAAGAATAGGATTTATACCTTTCCCAAGGGTATTAGCACGTAAGTGATTGCAATGGATCCGATTAAAATTCTTCAGTCCGAGCCGCTATCCATTACACCACTGCGTCTCCGTCAGTACATAAATAAACACACACAAATATCGAAAAGTTTGTTCATTTTAGAGACAGCAGAAACAAAAAACAAAAAAAAATGAAAAGATATGTCGGCATTTAAGCCTAAAATACTCGGAAATAATGTTATATTTAACATACAATAAATTGATTTAGAGTGACTTTTTGAGAGTAGTAACACTTAAACTATCAACTGGAAAAAATGAACGAGAGTACAAAATGCAAAATTCATAAATATAACTTTAGGTAAGTAAAAACAAAAGTAAAAATAAGTCAAGGAATCTTCAGGTTAGTTGTACAAAAACAAATAAATACTAATACAGAAAAACCCGGCAACTGTGAAAAAAAAAAAAAAGTTAAAAGAAATAATAATAAACAATAGATATTGTTATGAATAATCAAGAGTGATCTCCCCCTTGCTTTGTTACTCTCCTCTTTGAGAGAGCTATTTTTTTTATTGGGACTATAAACCTTTTATTCTTAGTTAAATAAAGCTTTCTTAAAGCCTACACCTGCGTACTTTAATCATTACACATATATAACTTCAAACAATATTATATGTAATAAATTGAATAAATAATAATTGCAAATCAAATCGATCATGTCATGCATAAAGCCAAATCACTACAATCTGAAAATTTTCATGTTTAGGATCAAGTGATATATACTCATAATGTACACTTGTAACTTCTCTTACATCCATAAAACAGCGTCAGTCAGTAACCAGTAACTTGATTGGCTCTTGGGTGAAAAATAAAAATTCAACCAACCAACCCCCTACCACAAATAAATAAATAAATAAATAAAATAAAAATAAAATGAAAATAAAAAAAATAAATAAAATAAAACGCTCCCAAATCGATTTACTAAAATTCCTGTCTAATTGTGAGTTCAATTCCTGGGTCGGGCAGTGTGTACTACTTACACGCAGTGTAAACGGGCGAGCAATAACTAAACAATACTAAATAAAAATAAGAACTACACGATATCCTTAGACATGAAAAGTGGAATGAGAGCTAAATAAAAGGGTTCAGTTAAGAATTCCCTGTAGGTTACCCAGATCCATATAACACGTAAGGAAGACCGGAGAGCACAACGGCCGAACCGTTGTGATAGCAACAATAAAGACGAGGATAATAGTCCGAATATAAATAGTGTAAATAAGGAATAAAATCTATATGGAGACAAGTTTTCATGGGCAATGAAGCAATCTTTGGAGTGAAGGATGACACTGAATAATATGTTTGGTTTGTTATTTTTTACGGTATATCAACCTCAATGGGTCATTTAATGCCGACAACTTTTTTTTTCCTGGTAATATTTTGTTTTGTCAAAAATCTATTTCTGTTAATATTTTTTTCCTCAAAAATGTATAGCTGGTAATATTATTTTTTCTCAAAGCGTATAGCTGGTAATATTGTTTTTCAAAAACGTATAGCTGAAAATTTATTTCTGGTAATAATTTTTACTAAGTATTTCTGGTATTAAAACCTATTTTTATACTTTTATAATATTTTTTATCTCAGTTTCGGGGTTAAATATTTGCCCGTAGCTGGGACCCTAACAGGTGCTACCACGCCGGGTCAGGGTGGACCTGGGAATACCAGCAATTAAGAGGTGGTGCGACGCTCCTCAAAACCTCTTGATCAGAGGCCTTGCTGTTGGACGTAGTTTATCGTCTTATCCAGGACACGGATGTAGTTTATCTTTTTACCCAGAACGCGGATGTAGTTTATCGTCATACTCAGGATGCGGATGTAGTCTCAATTTCGGGTTAACTATTTTCCCATAGCTGGGACCCTAACAGGTGATACCAACCCGAGTCAGTGTGGAAATGGGAACACCAGCAATTAAGAGGTGGTTCCATGCTTCTCAAAACCTCCTGATCAGAGGCCTTGCTGCAGGACGTACTTTATCGTCTTACCCAGGACGCGGATGCAGTTTATCGTCATATCCAGGACGGAACACTGAATAATATGAGGAAAAAGATTGAGAATAATTGACTCCTAGGAAAAGTGAATGGTAATAGTAATATCGGCCATTTCCTTATAAGGAAACATTTAGGATTCATTAACCCAACAGCAAGTACTGCTTTCATTTGAAATTTGCCAAAATCTTTCACTTAAAACAATTTTTCCGGAAAATAGTTTTCTTAAGTATAATAGTAATTATTGCTCTTTCCAATATTGAGTATTTCCTTCCTAACCTTTTGTTTAAAGTAGAGTGGAACATCAACTTGATTATTTAATTATTGTCTTTTCGGGTTGTATGTGCTATCCATTTTAGTTGTTGCTGCTGTTGGTAATCCTCAAGTGATATGGTTTCTGTTTTTTGCTACAGGTCTTTGTTTGTGATTATGTAGCGCCAGTTCACAGTGTTCAAAGAAGGATGATATTTGTTAAGACTCTAAGGCTTTACTCGCTCAAAGTCTTTTTTGTACCATTGATATTAGGAATCGGTTGTATTTTTTTTATAATTCCACCCCAAGTAAGGAAACAAAGAAACTAAGTTTTGGTTTGGTTTGGTTTGTTTTACGGCATATCAACATAAATGGGTTATTTAATGCGGACACAATTTTTATTGCTGGTAATATATTTTTTCAAAAATGTATTGCTGGTAATGTTTTTTTAATGTATAGCTCGTCATTTCTTTTTTTTTAATGTATCGCTGGTAATATTTTTTTTTTAACGTATTGCTGGTAATAATTTTCTTCAACCATTTATTGCTGGTAATAATTTTTTACAAAGTATTTCTGATATTAAAACTTCTTATTTTTACACTTTCATAGTGTTTAGACATCAGTTTGGGGGTTAACTAATTACCCATATCTGGGACCCTAACAGGTGTTACTACGCCGGATCAGGGTGGACCTGGGAACACTAGCAGTTAAGAGGCGGTTTCACACTTCTCAAAACTTTCTGATTAGAGGCCTTGCTGTTGGACGTAATTTATCGTCTTACCCAGGACGCGGATGTAGTTTATCGTCTTACCCAGAACGCGGATGTAGTTTATCGTCATATTCAGGAAAGCAAAGCCACTGAGACACAAGATTTGCAGAATGTTTGAGAATATTAGAAAAATACACTATTAAGGAGTGAGAGAGAGAGAGAGAGAGAGAGAGAGAGAGAGAGAGAGAGAATAAGGATTAAGAAGACTGAAGATGACGGTTAAAAGTGCATTTCAATTTTTGTAAGAGGAAGGTTGACTCGGAAGCAAGGCGCCGGAAGAGAGTTCCACAAGCGAGAAGTGCGAGAGAAAAAACTGTTAGCATACGGCTGTTAGTTTAGATGAGACTATTTAAGAGTATGGCTGGTTGATGTTTTGGTTTTGTAGCAGTTTTCGGTGTTTGCCAAAACAGATCACACACATTTTACATACATAAAGTTCTTCGTAATGTAGCAATTTGCGGTGTTGGGCAAAACTGCCTCTGACACAGCTTATTCTATGTTCAATTTCTTTTTCTTCTATAATGTTATAACTGATTCATACGTCCAACTATCTGAAGTGTTTAATCCAGCAATTTAATAAATAAACCGAACGAAACTTATTAATTCACAAACACTCTAAGATTTAACGCCATTTTATTAAATCCATCCCAATTATAAATGATTGACTTTATTTTAAATCCACCTTTACTGAAAAATCATTTTATTTAATTATTTATTTATTTATTTATTTTTGCAGATGTTGCTGCTGGTGCCCTTTACATCCGATGGGGACGTACAACATGTCCAGCTAATTTGTCCAAAGTTGTTTACCATGGTGAGTATTATCTATGCCAGAAAGACTTCAATAACACAATTACCTAATTCGGACTTCTGGTAGAATCTGGGACTGTCAGATTGGGTTGACAATTAGGGAACAGGTTTACATTTTAAAGTCGACCCCGATTAAATTTCGAATTGACTTTCTTCTCATTAGAACTCGGAGTTATTCTGGCTTATTTTAAAAAGTAGCTCCTAAAAGTGATATTCAGGTAGAGATTCCCGTTTACACTTTTGCGTTCATCTTTACACAAATACTTTTGGATCCATCTCGCCGCCAGTGAAAGAGTTAAATAGCAGGGTAGACCGGATTCTCTAACAATCAAAGAGAAGGGAAATTCTGAAGACCAAACTGTGGAGAAGCAATGGGAAACCATTCTATTATCTTTTATAGGAAACCATGACAGTTCGCAGATACTAAAGAAATGGAATCTATGAAGAAGCATGACCAAGAGAGATATGGAATTTTGATTTAGTCTATTGATAAATAAATATGCGTGCATAGTTTCAAATATTAGCGACATCCAATCTAAAAGAAGGAGAACTGAATTCCAAATCATGGATAAAGCAACGGAAAATCACTTTACTTTCGTTTCCAGGAATCATTGCTTTTTCGTCGATGGCGACGATCGGCGGCGGGAAACAGCATCACTCATGGTTAAGATAACCAAATATCCGATCGGCACGGTTATTAACAAGAACCACAGTAGTAGAATACTGTGGAGTCATACACTTTGTCTAGCCTTTGTTGCCCGCCGGTCTCTATTCTCTTCATAGCTCTTTGTTCCCGCGAAAACAGTAGCTCTCCAACCCACTCGATTCCGTGCAACTGCATCCATAGTTCGCAATACTGATAGAAAATTACATCATGGATATTTTACACTGGTCCTTGAATTATTGCAATTCACAGATGATAAAGAAAAGGAACCGGTGGAAAGGCATGTTCGCGTACAACCCTGAAAGAACTGGGCATTAAAAACGCAACCAATTTTTTTTTTATTAGCGAAGTTCAAATAGCACTGGGTGTTCAAAATTGGCACAATCGATCCACCGTGTCAAAAAGCTATTTTCAAAGAACTTCTTGTGGAGTATGGACTCGCTTCTCGTGGTTTGTGTGTCTAACCATTTTTTAGTACCATGCACTGGGGATTCCAGCGTGGTATTAATGGTGTCATAGATTCTTTAATCTGTCTTTATTTCTGTTCGCAGAAAAATGACCATGGGTAACAAGAGTACATTTTTAGGGTAAATTGATAGGTAAAAAATGGCGAGCAAATATAGTTAAACGTGCCCGAAATAAGACGGAGTATCAAAAGGACGATTTTTCCCATGACACCGCTTTTTTAACTAGGCTTCACTCTTCGGCAATGTTTATTTTTTTTTAAAGCAATGATTAGAATTGTAATTTTCTTTTAATAATGTTCATCCCATACAAGGCCCAAGAACCACTCGAGGTAGATATTTACTGTGTGGAGTTGTATTAGCGCAAGAAAGGGCAAGTTCTTGGCTCTATACAGGAAAGATAACAGCTAATTCTAGACTTGAAGAGGTAAAGATTTAATTAGTTAATGAAATTTCAGAGTTCAGTCGGAGATGTTAAAAGTATAGAGTTGAAGTCCACTTTAGAAGGAACGGGAAACCCAATCCTAAACAGGGAACAAGGGATAAACCTCTACTCCTGTTCAAAAGACCGGGGAGGAGACATTAGAAGTATAGAGTTGAAGTAGCCTTTAGAAGAAACCGGAAAGTCAATCCTAAACAAAAAACAAGTGACAAACCTATACTCTTATTCAGTTGACTCGGGGTAGGGGTCTGGAACCGGGCGATAGGAAAACCTAAAACCTATACATATGAAAGTGGATTTGTACATATCTTTTGTCTTTGAGAATTGCCGACAAAAATAATAAACTCTATTTATTTATTAGATTGTTTATTTACACTATATGTTCTATTTTCTATTGGAATGGCCGACAAAACCTCGGCGAATTGCCAAATGATTCAAACATTTTAAAATGGTAAATAATAAGGATTTCATTATAGTTGGTTCACATATTTTAATAATTTAGTAAATAAATTAATGAATAAATAATTGTTTTCACAGTTATTTTTCATAAATTGATTGATTATAAATATTGCATTAGTTCTAATTATATTAGTTACGCAAGGCATGCTACAACGTGTTTGGCAGGTGCTGGACTACCGATTTCAGATATGTCGTATCACAGGTGGTGCGCATATTGAGCATTTGTTAAGCTTTGGGAAATCGGTTATAAAGTCTACACCCTTGTTCGAATTTTGATAAACATAAAATTATTCTTGTAAATAAGCAATATAATAAATAAATAGTGTTAAATATTTTTGTTGTAAATTCTTAAGAAAAAAAAATGTATAAATTCACTTTCATGATATGTTTAAGTTTTATTCTAATTTTAATCATTGCTTTCTTAAAACAATAAACATTGCCGAAGAGTGAAAGCAGTCATGAGAAAAACCGCCCTGTTGACAGTAAACCTTTTTGCCATTTGACAATAAAATATTGTGCATCCTTTTTTGGTGATAGCTAAATTGGCGTCGAACTTTTCTTTATTTTTCAGTCAGAAATGCTCATATTTACTTTTTGATAATTTACTATAAGCTTCTTTAACTTTTAACCAATGGTCATATGATATTTTTAGATAATCTAAAATTTGAATATTTTAAAAACGATTTATTATAACTCAGCGATGATAGAACGACGTAGAAAAAGATGACTGCTTTCTCAGTCTTGAGTCCCCAAACCTAACGACAAACATCGAAAAAGAAAGTTGGATTTTCTCTAGCCCTCCCTTCACACACTCTTTCTTCAGACGAAGCACAGAGGGAAGTCGGCTCTCTGTGGATGTAACCGTTGATTTCCATCAATGATTCAGGAGTTTTCAAAAAACTTTTTTTGATATACCTACAGTGTTGCAATCTTGAATTTGATTGGACGCTTGTCTGGATGGAACCACTGAATAGGATTTTTAGTTTGTGATATACAGGATGTCCCCCCTCCAAATTGATATCAACTGAAATGAAAATATCTGAGTAACTACATGCTCCAGGCAAACGAAATTAAATGCATATTGAATAATACTTTCGAACAAGATATTCTAATGGATGTGGAATTTATAACCGATTTCACAAAGCTTCAAATATTCCAAATGCGCACCACCTACGACATGATACACGTAAAGTCGGTAGTCCAGCCCCTGCCAAACACGTTGTAGCATGCATTGTGTAACATTTTCCAACAACTCAATGATTCTTTTCTCTAGCTCCTCTAGGCTTGTAGGAAGAGTGGGGATATAGAGCTGTCCTTTTACATAACCGCGTAAGAAAAGAAATCACATGATGCCAAGTCAGGTGAAGTGGTGCTCATTTCAACAGTACATTGTCATTATCACTAGCACTCATTGAGAAAAGTCGGCCCTGGGGCGCTGGAGAATGCTATGCAAGACATGCTACAGCTGGACTACCAACTTGACGTGTGTTGTGTCACAGGTGGTGCACATATAGAACATTTATAAAGCCCTGTGAAATCGATTATAAAATCTACATCCCTTTGAATATCTAACTTTGATAAATAAATATTGTTCAACATGAAGCTTATTTAATTTCGTTTGCCTGTGACATGTAGTTACTCAGATAATCACGTTTTAAATGATGTCAATGTTTTGAGGACACCGTGTACTTTGTTTGGTTCTTGGAAAACCTCTTTTCTCTATTCTTATGCGTCTTGGGATTTTAGCTATCTTTTTTTTTTATAAACCTTGGATTATCACCTTTTTTCTTGAAGCCGACACTACAGTGTGCAAAATACAGGGTGTCTACCAAGAACTGACATAATTCCTTATTTTAATAACATGGCCGATTCTCGCCCAAAAGATCTCAAATTTTCAAATTTGGCTCTGCTGACTTATCTCAATGAGAATTCACCAGGAAGACGGATCTGATGTACTAGTGATAATGACAATGTACTGTTGAAATGGCCACCACGTCCACCTGATTTGACCCCTTGTGATTTTTTTCACTAAAGGGCTATGTGAAAGGACCGGTCTATATTCAACCTCTACAGGAATTTAAGTAGAGAATCACTGAGGCGCTGGAGAATATTACGCAAGACATGCTACAGCGTGTCTGGCACGAGCTGGACTACCAACTTGACGTGTGTTGTGTCACAGGTCGTGCACATATAGAAAATTTCTAAAGCCTTGTGAAATAGATTATAAAATCTACATCCTTTTGAATATCTAACTTTGATAAATAAATATTGATCAACATGAAGATTATTTCATTTCGTTTGCCTGGGATATGCAGATAAGACGTTTAGCCATCTTGATACCATTTGTCGTAAGACTCACAGAAAAAAAAACTTTGAGTTATCAGCTAAAAAAAAAACAGGTTAAAGTTATTTTGTGTCAGTCCCACTATGTTTTCTCGATACCAACATTCATACTCTGGCTTTCATCTTCAAAGACCATTCAAGAACCATCAACAGAACGATAAATAATTTTAAGAAGGAACAGGTGAGATGAAAACTGGATCAGGAGGACATCATTGAAGAATGTTACGCAAGACATGCTACAGCGTGTTTGGCAAGAGCTGGACTACCGACTTGATGTGTGTCTTGTCACAGGTGTTGCTCACGTGAAGCTTTGTGAAATCGGTTAAAATCTACATCCTTACTTGCATTAGGGCGAACTAATGGCCGACGACACGAAGGTTCAAAAATTTTGAGTAGCACCGATTGGACGACAGCTACCAATCAAAAGGCGGAATTATGGCGGCAAAGAAGAGCGACCGCGAAGTGAAAAATATAATCAGTTAGAGAGATGGTCTACACAAGAAAATATCTGGCAGAACGAGAAATTAGAACTATCATGTATCCCGGCCATAAAAAGGCCGAAGCATGGCAAGATCGGAGAAAACATATACCCTCCGCCCATGACAATCGAAAAAAAAGTTCATCTTTGATTCCGTCTGCCGAATGCAACTTCCGGAGACGACAAATCCGGGAAGAGAAAAATCTTCCATTAAACAAAAAAAAAAAAAAAAAAAAAAAAATTCACAAATGGAATCCTGAATATAATCAAGTTGAAAGAAAGAGAAGCTCCCGGACAAGAGCATAAGAGATAAATAAGTGAAGGAAGATATATCGGAAGAAGAGAGAGAGAAAGTGAGAGAGGGAGAGAGAGTGAGAGAAAGAGAGAGAGAGAAAGGAAGAGAAAGAGAAAGAGAAAAAGAGAGAGTGAGTGAAAGAGAGAGAGAGAGTGAGAGAGAGAGAAAGAGAGAGTGAGAGAAAGAGAGACTGAGAAAGAAAGAGAGGGAGAAAGAGAAAAAGAGAGAGTGAGTGAAAGAGAGAGAGAGAGAAAGAGAGAGAGAGAAAGAGAGAGTGAGAGAAAGAGAAAGAGAGTGAGAGAGAGAGTGAGAGAAAGAGAAAGAGAGTGAGAGAGAGAGTGAGACAAAAAGAGAGTGAGAAAGAGAGAGAGAAAGAGAAAAAGAGAGAGTGAGTGAAAGAGAGAGAGAGAAAAAGAGAGAGAGAAAGAGAAAGAGAGAGAGAGTGAGAGAGAGAGAAATAGAGAGAGAGTGAGAGAGAGAGAAAGAGAAAAAGAGAGAGTGAGTGAAAGAGAGAGAGAGAGAAAGAGAGATGAGAGAAAGGGAGAGAGAGAGTGAGAGAGAGAAAATATAGTTCTGAAAGAACTAGAGAAAAGAACTCATAAACAAAGTTCTTTCATCGCCATCCCATAGTTTTCCAGCATGCATCCATATATTAATAAAATATTCAATGCATTCACCATTACATGAAGATAGAGATTTTTCAAGCGTAGCTTAGATGTGGCACAAGGCTGAAAGTATAGAGCATCCAGTGAGGATCGAACTCACTTTGCAGTAGTAACTGATCTAGCAAGACAAGTATGTTAACCATTACACCCCGCCGAGGTGCCCTCCATTATATGAAGATATTAAGGCTCTTCAAACTGATCGCTCATATTTATTCATTCAACATTACTGTAACTGGTCTTTATTCTGATCATCTCTCCAAGTTATTTATTTCCTTTTTTTTTCTGTTATTATTAAAATCTTAGTTAATCTAATCATCGTGTTGTCTCGTTCCTGATATTCGATCAGTTAAATACTACCTTCACTCCACGTGACCAAAGAGCAACCCGTGTGTAGATCGTTTCTACTGTATGTTTATATATTCTTTTTTTCTCTTGTTTTGCGATGCCGATGAAGAAATTTAAACATGAATATTTCCTGTTAAAGGGAGGTAACTCTCAATTCGTTTCGTCTTTAAGTCCGTAACAATATATATATATCGAAAAAGGCCAAGGTCGGTTCATCTTTATGGAAGATGATGGCCTCAGTATTTTAGGATGTCATTTTGTTTATTGATTATCTTCAAAAGGGTCTCACCATCAATGCCAACTTGCTGAGGCGGTTACGAAAGGTTATCAAAACCAAATGCCACGGAAAACTGACAAAAGTGTTTTTGTTTCATCAGGACAGTACTCCAGCACACGAGTCTTTGGTTTCAGGAGATGCTGTGCGTGACTGTGGGTGTGAACTAGTTGATCATCCTTTCTATTCTCTTGATTTGAACCATCAACTGTTCCCCAACATGAAAAAAAAAAAAAAAAAAAAAAACAACACTTTACTGGAAACCAGTATCTGCTGTTGGTGACTATTTTGACCAACAGGATGAAAGCTTTTTTACCAATGGAATCCAAGCACAATAACACCGACTTTACTTTTGCATGTTTAACCCTTTTCGCTTTAAAACTGTTACAACCATGATAAACAAGTTTCTGCCAGTTAAAACCTATCACCTGTCTCCTTCTCCCAATTGTTTGTACTTATTCCACAATATTTAAGGTTGTTTTTAATGACATCGTTGAAGCGCTTTTCTGGTTTGTATGGTGAACGTTTGCGGCTTGTCAATTCACCATAGAACAACTATTTTGGGAGGCGAACATCCTCCATCTTTATGATGTGACCAGTCCAGCACACCTGGTTACGTGTTAACAACTTTTTAATATTAAACGTATTTACCCTTTCGAAAATTGCTGTGTCCGTCACAAAAGATTGCCACCTAATACCTAGAATTCTAAGAAGTCAATTTTGATGAAAACGTTCCAAGATTTGGGTGTGTCGTTGGTAAGTGATCCATGTCTCTGAGAAGTATAGTAGATCGGATAAAATGTACGACTCATACAAACTTAACTTAGTTTTGCCTGAAATACCCCTATCTGACCATACACAAGATTCTAACATTCCAAAGGCTTTACTTGCTTTTTGTATACAATGACTTATGTCGGCATCAAGTGAGCCATCTCTTGAAAGAACATTGCCGAGGTAAACGAAAGTATCAACAACTTCTAATCTATGTCCATTAACAAAGATATCTGCTGAGAGGGTGATGGTGTATACATGAACTTTCTTTAAGGTTATATTGAAACCAAAAAACGAACTTGCCTTAGAGAACAGGTCTATGACATGCATATCATCCTTATTGTGAGACATCATGTCAGCATCATCTGCATACAGTAGCTCTTTGACTACAACGTCAAAACATTTAGATTTTGTATTGAATATCCAGAGGTCAAAAATCTTTCCAGATGTCATACATCGCAATTCTGAAAAGCATACGAAAGTGTTACAGCAAAATAGTTGAAGAACAAGGTAGGCTCAGGAATATCTCCCTATTTTACACCTTTATTAATTGGAAAAAGGTTCCGATAAAATACCGTTAAATTTTAAACTACCCCTAATATTCCGATGTAAATCACGAATCATTGCCGGAAAGACATCCTAATGTGCCAAGAATGGTCTAAAGTGCCTTCCTGTTCACAGTGTCGAATGCCCTGGTAAGACCAACGAAAATCTCTGATAGAGAGGAAGCTGATGTTTTATCCATTTTCCTGCAACTGACATGCTGAGACATGGTGCCACGACCTGTTCGGAATCCACTTTGACTTTCAGAGATTATCAATGGACAGATGTATTTTAGAAGGTGGTTCAACAACAACTTTACAAATACTTTACCAACAGTTCCTAGCAAATTGACCCCTCTGTAATCCCTACATACAGATTTACAGCCCTTCTCTTTATAAAGAGATATAATGATTGCGTCAATCCAGTCTTGATGAACAGGTCCATCCAACCACACATCTACAATAAGCTTATGAATAACTTCATGAATGTGAGCGCCCCTACAACGCAATACTTCTACTGGTATGCCGTCCAGACCAGGTGCCTTTCCAGTATTTATTTGTTTTAAAGCCTTTTGAACTTCACCCAGAAATGGGAGGTCTCACATCTCTTGAATAAAGTCATTCTGTGGAAAACTGTTAATAACAGATATCAACAATGGATAGGTTGTAGAACAGGTCAGTAAAAGATTTATTCCACCGTTTCATGATATCTTCTGAATGTTTTAAAATACTATTTCCATCTTTCAATTTCAAAGGCACCACAGATGAAGATTGGGGACCAAACATCTTTCTTATCAAGTGATATAATGATTTCGAGTCCTTCTGATCAAAGGCTGTTTGAATTTGGCTAGAAAGTTTAGACCACCATTCATTCTTCATTTGACGAAGATTACGTTGCAAAACAGATTTCGCATTTCTAAAAGACTACAACAGGGATGACTTATTGTTATGGTCCGGTTCCTTGAACCACGGTGATAGTCCAAGGTAGAACCAATAAAGAAGAACTCGAAGGCTGATATGGAATAACACAGATATATGACGAACAGGGATATATACATAGAAGTAGAAAGTGTTAGTACGAACAATCAGGTTTAGTAGTAATTGTCTGAACGCGACTCTGTTTCCGTCTGCCTGTGACTCGACTGACAGACTCGCTCGCTCTGACTGACAGACTCCTGACGGATTTCACTCCAGACTGAACTGTATTTAGTCACCCCCTGCCACGAGGGCATCATGTGGCACAAGGCCTGTTTAACGTGGGATCTCCGAGCCCGTGGGCTCGGTCAAAAATATGCCCTTTGAACCCATATAAACGGGTTCATGGTGGGTTTACCTCCCCGAAAGAGACTTCGCACTTCGGTGTAGCCTCGTTCGGGTTCCTCCCCGCCGGAAGGCAGAGAGTTCAACCGATCAGCCGGTCAGCCGGTCGTCCGACTTCAGACTGAACAGTATTTAGTCATCACTCCACGAGGGCATCATGTGGCACAAGGCCGGTTTAACATGGGATCTCCGAGCCCGTGGGCTCGGCCAAAAGTATGCCCATTGAACACGTATAAACGGGTTCAGGGTCGGTTTACCTTCCCGAAAGAGACTCCGCCCTTCGGCGTAGCCTCGTTCGGGTTCCTCCCCGCCCGAAGGCAGGGAGTTCAACCGATCAGCCTGTCAGCCTGTCGCCCGACTTTGGACTGAACTCCCTGCTTCCTCTTGAGGCGCAGTATTTATTACGTATGGAATAGTCTATTATGTTATTATGGGTAAGGTCCCATGACACTTATCTTTGTCAGATGCACTAAGATACCTCTGCTGAGCTTCATTTCACCTTTTAGCAGTTCATTAATTGCTGCATCACCTTAGTCAAACCAGTCTTGATGTTTGTGTTTCCCCAATCTTAATATTTGGTCACTGGAGTTATAAACTGTTTCTTTAAATTGATTCCATGTACCATCAAATACAGAATTCTCAAAAGCATTCCGTAAAGCTTCACATAAATTTGGATCACATAATTTAGAATCACTTAAACGTTTTGATACAGATACTCCATTTGCTCTCATTTTTCGTTGAATGCGTCATTTTAATTTTCCTCTAACCATCATATGATCACTACCACACTCAGCCCCACGTATTACTTTGACGTTACAAACGTCCTGCAGGTCACGTTTACGACAAATAACATAGTCAAGAATATGACCATGTTTTGAGCGAGGATGTATGCAAGTGATTTCATGAACCAATTTTATCAAGTCCATACTTCCATACTTGCAAATAGCATCCCAGGTACCCTGGCATTAAAATCACCAAGCAAGACAATCTTATCATCCCTCAGAAATTTTGTCAACACACTACTGAGATCTTGGTAGAAAGCCATCACAATTTCTTCAGTATTTATTGGAGTGGGCACATAGACGGAGATGACACTCATAAAACGCTTATGAGGCAAAGGAAGCCTCAACATTATGATATGGTCACTGATATCTTGAGGTTGCTCCAGGTACTTTGTCAAATCAGATCAGATAGCAAATGCAACAGATGCTTTATACCCCCAGCTTTTCCTTTCCAGAAGAACGTGTATCCAGCACCTTTTTCAATCAGATGGTCGTCCTCACTTAACCGGGTTTCAAAAAGAGCGGCAATATAGATTTGATAACGAGCTAACTCTTTAGCAACAAGAGCAGTACGCCTTTCAGGACGATTTGAATTGTGGCGATCAAGAAGTGTTCTTGCATTCCAACAAAACAAATTTATTTCACAGTTTTTTGAAAAAAATATTTTCGAGGGTGTAAACTTTATATATTCGCCCTGCACGAAAGAAAAACCGTCAGCTGCAGGAAACTGAACAGTAAAAAGAATGAACAGACAATTTTTAGGTCACTTTTCTAGATTCCGCTCCGAAAGGGGTGAGCAGTGCACTCCCTAAAAAGGGGCTGCTCAGTCATCCAAGACCTCACTTAAACAAGTTGCTATCCAGTCAACGTGACATGTTACGTTAAGTCTTGTGCCGCCCATGTGCTGAGGTGTGATAGTGGACTTCCAGTTTGTTAGACCTGCCCACGAGGCCAACCCCGACCACCATAAGACTTAGAAAGAAGAAATATCTGCACATGGTTGCTGTTGATTCTACGTCCTTATGCCGCAGACATAGCACCCTGACCATATAACCAACATGTAAGATAACCCTAAAATGTAAGATAAACCTAACGTAAAATAACACTAAAATGTAAGATAAAGCTAACATGTAAAATAACCCTTAAATGTAAGATAACCCTAAAATGTAAGGTAACATTAACATGTAAGATAACCCCAAAATGTAAGATAAACCTAACATGAAAGATAACCCCAAAATGTAAGGTAACCCTAACATATAAAATAACCCTAAAATGTAAGATAACCCTAACAAGTAAAATAACCCTAAAATGTAAGATAACCTTAACATGTAACATGACACTAAAATGTAAAATAACCCTAAAATGTAAGGTAACCCTAACATGTAAAATAACCCTAAAATGTAAGATAACCCTAACATGTAAGATAACCCTAACATGTAAAATAAGCCTAAAATGTAAGATAACACTAAAATTTAAGATAACCCTAACATGTAAAATAATCTTAACATGTAAAGTAACCCTAACATGTCAGATAACCCTAAAATGTAAGATAACCCTAAAATGTAAGTTATCCCTAAAATGTAAGATAACCCTAAAATGTAAGGTATCCCTAACATGTAAAATATCCCTAAAATGTAAGATACCCCTAACATGTAAGGTAAACCTAACATGCAAAATAACCCTAACATCTAAGGTAACCCTAACTTGTAAAATAACCCTAAAATGTAAGATAACACTAACATATCAGATAACCCTAACGTAAAATAACCCTAACATGTAAGATAACCCTAAAATGTAAGATAACCCTAAAATGTAAGGTAACCCTAAAATATAAAATAACCCTAACATGTAAAATAACCCTAAGATGTAAGATAACCCTAAAATGAAAGTTAACCCTAAAATGTAAGATAACTCTAAAATGTAAGGTATCCCTAGCATGTAACATGACCCTACAATATAAAATAACCCTGAAATGTAAGATAACCCTAACATGTAAGATAACCCTAAAATGAAAGTTAACCCTAAAATGTAAGATAACCGTAAAATGTAAGGTATCCCTAGCATGTAAAATAACCCTAAAATGTAAGATAAACCTAACATGTAACATGACCCTAAAATGTAAAATAACCCTGAAATGTAAGATAACCTTAAAATGAAAGTTAACCCTAAAATGTAAGATAATCCTAAAATGTAAGGTATCCCTAGCATGTAAAATAACCCTAAAATGTAAGATAACCCTAACATGTAAGATGACCCTAAAATGTAAAATAACCCTAAAATGTAAGATAACCCTAACATGTAAGATAACCCAAAAATGAAAGTTAACCCTAAAATGAAAGATAACCCTAAAATGTAAGGTATCCCTTGCATGTAAAATAACCCTAAAATGTAAGATAACCCTAAAATGTAAAATAACCCTAAAATGTAAGGTAAACCAAACATGTAAGATAACCCTAAAATGTAAGATAACCGTAACATGTAAAATAACCCAAACATGGAAGATAACCAAAACCTGAAAAAATAAACAAAAAAATTAAAATAAATTAAAAACTATGAATGAACACATAAAGCACAAATAGATATAATAATAATAATTAACAGCATATAATTTATAAATAATAAGTAAAATGTTAACAAATAACTGCATTCATATCCATAATTATTATTGCTTCATAACCTCTAGAATAATTTGAAACATAACATGTTACCCCGGGCCAATAATCATTAACATAATACAATAAACCTTGCTACTCATAATGCACCATAGACAAGTATATATAGATACCCGAGGTAAAACACATCACACAAGGCCTGAAGATTGCATCCACGCTTGAAACACACTGTCGCTGCCCGGTTTTGATCTAATTGTCAACTTCTATATTTCTATATCCTTCTATCTGTCTCTCGATCTATCTATTGAAGATACTTTAGACTTTTTTTTATAGAGCATAGAACAACCAACCACACAGCACTGGCGCTGTACTTTCCGTGGTGGGTATTTTTTTAACGCGGTGGAGTTGCCAGCCTTACGCTTCACTGCTTTTGAATTCAGAATTGTGCTTCTCGTATCCTATATTGGTTGTCAAATAACGTCAGTGAGTCCACTCTGCCTATATATTTAACCCATAGCCGGATGGGGAAGACGGGATGGATTAATAAATTTCCAAGTAAGAAAAAGCCAACGCAACAGTCTCAGCTGGAATTTGAATTAGGCACGCCAAACCTATAACCACTACACTCAGCGCCCGCTCAATATGATATATAGAGCGATTCGGATATATTAACGCTTACCTTTTTCTTGTGTTCTGGCTTACGGCCATATCATGTTGGACCATCGGTTTTCGTAGGATCACCGAAGTTAAACAACGTCGAACCTGGTCAGTATCTAGATGGGTGACCGCTTGTAAATGCTAGGTGCTGTAATCTTCGACGTGCGGGTGGTGTAAAGAATAACGGCTCAAAACTTGAAATTAGTGAGCCGGCTTTCAATTTAAATCGGCTCAATTACATATAAATACCCCTGGGAAAGGCATGAACTCTTCTTCCCGCAGCATGGCTTGTATCAGTAAATCATTCTCCAAAAAAAAAAAAAAAAAAAAAGTTCTTACAATCTAAAGACTTTTTCTGGCTTTAAACAATCTGCAAAAGGTTGATAAACCGTAAAAAACAAAACAATCAATCAATCTTGTGTTCTTTGCAGGAATCGTCGGCGGTCAGCATTACAATCATTCAGGAGGAGGTAGCAACGTTCTATGTCTTCCTATGGATCCTAGCTGGAACAAGTTTACAGAGGCAAAAGAAGATTCCCAATATATATACGGTGGGGAATATCAGATTTCTCACTATACTGCCGTTTCCAAGACTGGCCTATTCTCCGACGCTAATAGCAAGACCCTTCACGACCACAATATCCCGTGCGCTGTGTGTCAGACACTGAAACCAGCAGCAATCATGATGCTACCAGCGCGTAAGACCTGCTATCCGGGATGGACACTCGAATATACAGGTTATCTGATGTCGTCGCATTATGGACACAGGGGGAGAAATCCGTTTACCTGCATAGACGCTGCTCCTGAAGCAGATCCAGCAGGATACAGAAATGAAGACGGTGTATTGTTCTATCCAGTACAAGCCGCCTGTGGTTCGCTTCCTTGCCCGCCCTATGTGCAGGGCCAAGAGTTGACATGCGCAGTATGCAGTCAAAGTCATCGCACCCATGTGCATCAATCAGCTTTTGATAAAGAAACATAAGTAGTAGGCTAATTTTGACATTTTTAAATCTTTAACTAGCAAAGCATTTTTCAAAAAAAAAAAAAAAATACAATACCTTAGCTATAAACAATAAGAGAATTTAGAGGATGTACTTTATTTATAGTAAATATTAACTCTTATTCCCGCCAAATCTGGCGTATATTTTTGCATATTATCATACTATTCTTTTAATTGTCACTGTTTATTATGACGGCACTATCTATCTATCTATCTATCTATCTATCTATCTATCTATCTATCTATCTATCTCCCTCCCTCCCTCTCTCTTTCTCTCTTTACACACACACACACACATATATATATGTATATATGTGTGTGCGTGTGTGTGTGTGTGTGTGCCTTGAAAGACTACTGGGCCTTAAACTCACGCCTAACATCAAGTGTAAAACGTAGATACGATCCATCGCTAAAGATGCGGGAAAAATGGTCAGCTCCCTGTTAATAATAGTTGGCCAACCGTATTTGATGATACTCGTCCACTAGGGCGACTAGCCAATCCCTATTGCAGATGCTTGCTCAGGCACATTATGTTTATTCAACACCCACGATCACTACACCCTTAACCTTGCATTAACCGTTATCTCCCCTTTTTATTAGTATATACTGCCTCTTAACTTAACCCTCTACCACAAGTGGCTCTGTACAGGGAAAACCTTACTGTAATATATATATATATATATATATATATATAAGTAAACATTGAACTCAACACTCAGAGTAGACACTTTCATGCTAAACGCACTCGTCAGGCCACATAAAATGGGTTAACACATGTGGCCTGACACATGTGGCAACGTATGTTTTTATATTTACATACGTTCTATCTCTGATATTGAGCACTTTATCCCATAAATATGGCACATATATATATATACATACATATATATATATATATATATATATAGATTGTTGCCCATTTTCTGTAGAGATACACGAGTTGTTTTTTTAGTTTTTCACTGGTTATTCAACGACGTAAAAAAAAAAACTTGCTACGAGAAAGAGACAACACGTTTGTATCTCCTACTTCCTATACTCCCCTTCTTTATCCTTTTCTTCCACCTTCTATCTAGAGAGCTTCACATGCAAAGGGAGACAACCTGTTATCAAAGTCTATTGTAACAGTTACATTCTCACCAAATCACAATCTCAATGTGGCATTTCTTAAAACAACCCTAACCTCTGCAACTAAACCAAGCATAATAAACCATCTCTCTGCCTCAAGCAGAATAGCGACACCATGTCTTTCCAGATATACCATTCTAGTCATGGAATTATTTCTTTTGCCAAATGCAACGCCATTAACGATCAGTTTTAGTTTTCTCGCCTTATCGTCTGCTCCTGAACAGACATCAATTATTCTGGCTAATTTCCACTCGTTTCGTGGTGCCAGATTACCATCTCGAAGAACAAAGACCTTCATGTTTCTTCATGGTCTTATTTGTAAGTTCAAGAGATATTCGTTGCGTAATATTGTACTTTGCAGTATCTTTTCCTTAAATAAAGATCTTGTCTGACGAATTGTCCAGATGGAAGCAGAATCATTGTAGACTTCATCGTAAGAATGCGATTTGGTGTTAAAGATTCAGGTTCCCAGGGGGTCATCCCCACACACATACAACATACGCATATATAACCTCTGTCCGCTCATAGTTTTAAACTTTGCTTAACCATTTTATAAACTAAATACAGAAAATATTACGTAACAGCGAAGGAACCATATTTCGGATGATCAAATTTATCCATTTAATAAAAATAAAAATAAATTTTCAAGTAATTAGATTGAATTTGTTGGTTTTTAATCCCCTTTTTGCATTATTGTTATGAAGCGCTAAAATCGATAGAGACATGAATGTTCAAGTTAGGTATTTTCTCCCTGACAGTTGTATTGTGTATTTTTTTCAGGCACTAACAAGTTTGCACGCTTATTAATCTAAACAGTTTTTCAAAATCCGTATAATCAGCTTTCATTTTTGTCTCCGTTTGTTGCCTCTACATCGATTACGTGAAACCATGTCAACAGCATCACGAAGATAGACGACTGATAATTTAATGAGTTTATATATACACTACAAGACAATAGTTTGGGGTATTGCTGCATTTCTTAAAAAAAAACACCTTAAATGAGATATTTTTTATGTTCTTTTAAAGTATGAGATACAATCTCAGTAAATACAGAGTATTTGTTTTTAATTTTGACAAAAAATAAGCACTTAACGGTAAAAAATATCATACAACAGCATCATATTTTGTTCTCGTCAATAAAACCACCACCTGTCTTAATTACTGCTTTACAAATGATTAGGATTCTTTCCAACTGACTGAAAAGTTGAATAAACTAGGTGAGACGACACATCTTAGTGTATTTACATTCATTTTGACAAAAAATAAGCACTTAACTATAAAAAAAAAATATACAACAGCATCATATTTTGTTTTCGTCAATCACCACCTCCCTTAATTACTGCTTTACAAATGCGTAGGATTCTTTCCAACTGACTGAAAGGGTGAACAAATCCAGTGAGACGACATATCTTTGACAAAAAAATTAAGCACTTAACTATAAAAAAAATATCATACAACAGCATCATATTTTGTTTTCGTCAATAAAACTACCATGAAGACAAATCAAAATCTGAAATTTTTGGTATCAAGTAGAACCTGGAGAGAGATTGAAAAATACATTATAGGTACTCGCATTTTATCTCATTATAAGTTGTTTTATTTTTAAAGAAATGCAGGGCGGCCCGAACCTTTTGGACTGCATTGTGTATATATATATATATATATATATATATATATATATATATATATATATATATACATATATATCTATATCTATATATCTCTCTCTCTCTCTCTCTATATATATATATATATATATATATATATATATATATATATAGAGAGAGAGAGAGAGACAGGTATTAAAAATCTATCACCGGAAACTTCTAGGATCGTAGGGGCAACAGATATCGTAGTTTTTTTCTTCGCCAAAACCCAAAATGTTCCACTATTTCTTCATAGTTGGCGGGGAAACGAGATGAATTCCCAAAGTTATTAGCACGTAAGTGAATGTAATAAATGCGACTGGAATGCGCTGCACAGGATGCTGATGGCAAGCAAGACAAGAACTTGCGAGTGATCAACTGCTTTGGACACTTAGCCATAGCGCAAGACGGGTTGGTTGCCCAACAACTACCTACATTGACCAACTATTCTATGGCACAGAATGCCACCCTAACCACCTTCCGATAGGTCCGTGGTCGTTGGGGCGATAGACTCATGAATGACCAAGATAAATCGAATAATTAATATATATACATATTTCCATTTCAGGTGTTAGAAAAACAGTGCTCAATGCTAAATAAGGAAGCTATGAAGTATATATATATATATATATATATATATATATATATATATTAATGATTATACGTACTATCCAATAGCACGACTCGGAGTTTCGAGAAAATGTGCAATCTTCAGGTGCCAAATACAGATTGACCGTTAGAGTCTTATGAAATTTGCGAATTTCATAACGACGTTGGATATTATGTATAATTACTAATATATATATATATATATATATATATATATATATATATATATATATATATAATTAATAATTAATATAAGTAAAATTGTCGCTTAGCTGATGTTATTTTTCTAACAGTACGCACACTCACAAATTTGTTTCCTCAGCTTTTTACGAACATTTTTTTCTGTTTTTTTCCACCATTTTTGATCTTAATTTGTTTTCTTTTCACTTCCTCCAGCTTAGGCTGAATGTTTTTGTTGAAATCGTTGGGAGAATACCGGCAAAATGACTGGCAAATCATCGGAAAATCGACAAAGAATGATCCGCCGGATAAAAGCGAAGAGACGTAATCTGCTATCCGGAAAAGTGTTTCCAAAAACAGAAAAAAAAACATAGCAAAAATGACGAGATGCCAAAAGATCAAATGTACAGGGTGGTCCAAAACTCATCTAAAAGTTGACAGAAAACATACACTTGTAAAACAGCAACCAGAGATTATTAGCATGACATCATCTTTCATAATTCGACTAATAAAATGTCTTAATAATATATTGTCACAGACAGAAATATGATTCCATTTAGTAAATAAATATAAAATTTACAAGGTTATCAATGGTAATGTGACTTTTGGAACATCATGTAAACCAAACAGAACAAGGCGAGAAATAAGAAACGCGATGCACTAGCCGAGGAATCGCTCCGTGGATGGAAGCACCCACCAAAGTGCAAAATCAACCTTGGAATTGGTAAATGGGTATGTTCATCTTGTCAAGGATGGAGGCCTTTTGGTAGACAAACACGAGCTAGAGAAGTTTGTCAATAAATCAGTGTCTGTCTTCGTGGTTGACAAGCGCTTGCGCAAGATTTGTTCGTCCTCGAAAGACAGCGATAAACGACACTGGCTTACCTGGGATTTATGCTACAGCAAATAATGAAAGGCACAGGTTATTTTTCATATGGAACATACTACTGCCAACACCGACATATTGTATAGTGAAATAACCAAGGACCTTATACTCAGCACGGTTTATGGGGAAAGGTGAAGGACAAGCGTAGCAGTCGTTGAAAGTCCACCGCTCGGGAAGCATTTAGACGTGTATCTGGCACAGTACGTTTAAATACTGGATGTCTCCTCCGACCGGAAGCGCCGGAAATGAGGGTTCGATAACATATTGGACAAGCAAGCCTTCCCTTGCATTCACACCTATCGGGATGTTGGGAATCCGACGTTTTGAAAGTGTGGCCAGACTGGTCCTCTGGTTCCTTCCTACACAGAGAAGAAGGGGTTCCAAGTTCAGTTGACTACAATCACTCTCTGCCTGATGCTACTCGCTCTGTCTCTCTGCTTCAAGTGCATGCCAATGACTTGGACCGGTGTGATTAAACCCCCGGATAAGTCCCTTTAGGGGCCTAACCTCCCATACTCCTTCGACGCCCTCAAGTGTGCTTGTGTATAAGAGAAAAGAAGAATGGCTGGTCGAAGGTAAGGACAGATGGAAGCGCCAGACAGCGGACCCTCAGTCCCTCCAATTCCTCCACGGGGGAAGACACTAACAGCCCCATATCCAAAATCAGCTCGAATGGAGATACTCCGCCCATCTACTTGAAAATAGCACATACTAGAGAACAGAGAAGGTTAAACAATTAATAAAGGCGTTGGAAGTCAAGCTGATAGAAAAGGTAGCCTATGCTTCAAAACTTACCCCCTTTCCTCCCTATGAATAAAAAAAATGGCATTTATAAAATCCTTGACGGCAACTCTCTCGAA